ACTTTAACTTCATACGAGCATTTTTTTACTCTGTGCCAGGCATTCATTGCTTTTCTTACAAATACAAGTCATTTCTTGAGGCAGCTGTTTTTTGAGTTTTCTTTCTCCATTATCCCATTCCCTCTGAGCAAGCATTCGGGACTCGGTGGTAAGTATACAGGTCTTGGCAATACTCGCCTCCAAAACTGTGTTCGATCAGTCTTTGCCTGGTGTTTCTGGCATGCCAGCCTGAGGTGTTGGGGTTAGCCTGTACCGGATCATGATCATTCTTATCCTCTGTGGGTCTGACCAGCTCACTTTCTGAGACCCTCGGTGGAGCTAATCCACATGTCTTGGCTATGTTGTACAATAAGTAATGTTGCCAGGATCATACCTCATATTTCTCTTTTGGGGCCTGGATAGTGATGTGCCACCAGATCTATCTAGGCACCTGACTCTCATTCTCAAAGTTCCTTTTACGATGGATCTGGTGGTTTGATGGGCAGCATTATAATTTTTCCTCTGAGAGAGTCCGGGGATTTGAAACAGGAGTCGCTAAGCACCGTGTTTATGGGGATAAGAGCCATCTCCTGCAACAAATCTATTAGGAGGAGACTGTCCCCTGTAATTATCACAGATATTAATTATTTAAGAAAAAGAAAAAAAAAAAAAAAGAAAAGAAAAAGCATCTTGCCTAGCAGCCAGACCTCCTGAGAACGTAAAAGTCATGACATGCTGTTGGGTACTGTGCTACTATGTCTGTGATTCAGAGCTTTTCATCAGAGACAACCTACATGTTGATCAAATGCAACCACTTTCTGTGCCTTTAGGCCATCTAATTTCCTGAGGGCTGGCACCCTGAGCAGAGGACGGGTGCAATTGGTAACCCACAGGGCAGATGGAAACGCACTTGGCAATCAATTTTTTTATATCTGTTGGTGCTGCCTCTCTCGGGGGAATTTGATTTAGTGGCACTCAAATTGCTATATGCATGCAGAGGCATCAGACTGGCTTATACATGTGACAGCCCTGACAGTGCTCCGAAAGGATGCTGTCACCAGGAGCCCCTCGAGCGGTGGTAACTAATCCTCACAGGTGTAGCATGGCTCCTGTGTTTGACTCTCAGCGTTGTAACTTCTCGTAAAGGTTCAGAAGAATTTATATGGCAAAAGCAGTGATTAATTCCTCCTCTGGCAAACACTAGAGAATAATTGTAGGCTAAAAATCCTCTTCTAGGATTACAACTGAGCCGCGCTCTCTGTCCAGTGAGCCATAGACGCTTCTTCCCTGTCTTTCGGCGAGACTGAAGTTATTCAAAATAAAGCAGATGATAGTATTTTGTTATTCTGCCAGTCAGCCACAAATTGCTCCCTTATAAGTGTGTGTGCGTGCGTGCTTGTGGCTGTACTTTGCTAAATGAGTGGTTTAATGACGAAATGCAGCTGGCATGGCCAACCTCCAGTGTAGGCTTTGTCCACGACAGGGTATTTCTTCCCTTCCACCTACAGCCAGCTGCGTTCCTTTTAATACTGTTGGAGGCATGCTTCTTTGGCCACACTGTCAACACACCTCACACCAGGTGCAATCCTTGCACCCATTCTGTGGCTTTTTTGATATCTCTTTTATTAAAACTGTTTGCAAAGGTATCCTCAGAGAATTTCCAACACAAGCGTGTGAGATTCCCCTCTCATTGGTACAAGCAATGCATGCTGCAGGGTATTCAAGAGCACACGGAGGTTGGAAGAAAAGCCAATTAGTAAGCCTGACAAATTATTCCAGTATGTGCGGCCTTTTGAACATGTGGTTCTGGTGCATTCATGGTTTGCACACTGGTACTGGGGATATGACCAGCCTAGTTAAAGGCAAAGGCAAGTGACACTTTGTCCCAATATGCTTACGTCTTATTTCTTTGGGATGAGTTTGAATGAAGCTAAATACAACTCAGCCAGTTAATTTTCTTGGCCTAATTAGCACATTGGATAAGACAGTGAGGTTGTTTTTATTTTCACATGGTGCTTTCACTTCAAAAGTGTGGTGCAGTCGCGGCCAGGTGCTAAGGTTTTGACGTATTCTTGACACTTTGTCCCAATATGCTTACGTCTTATTTCTTTGGGATGAGTTTGAATGAAGCTAAATACAACTCAGCCAGTTAATTTTCTTGGCCTAATTAGCACATTGGATAAGACAGTGAGGTTGTTTTTATTTTCACATGGTGCTTTCACTTCAAAAGTGTGGTGCAGTCGCGGCCAGGTGCTAAGGTTTTGACGTATTCTGCAGGCCCCGCCATGTAGCTGCTGCCATTTAGAATAAATCTCATTCCACACGCTGGCTGCTTCTGTAGCTTCCAATATTTCTGTCGTAGTTTTAAAACGACAACCTCCACCCTACCTTGGCTTTCTGATCAAAGGCAGTAAGAGCAAAAGAAGAAGCTGCGCAGATGTAGCAGTGCTGCCGTTGGAAATACTACGCGAGGAACCCCTAAAGAGTTCTTTGCAAAGCAGCTTAAGCTTTGACCTGCTCTCCTCTCCCGTTTCAAAGTGCTTTAGCTAGACTTGGCGAGGCACAAAGCACCACTCGAATGGGAGCAGCTATAGAAGGACCGAGACCCTGTCTACAGACAAGAAACCTGCAATAAACTTACACAAAACAAAGGTGTTTTTTTTTTTTTTTTTCCAACTGGAAATAGTAGATGGTGTGAAGAATTAGTACCAACTGATATTTTGGTCAGATCCAAAACTAGGATCTGACTTCTAGTGTTGTCTAGCAAAATCAGTGCAGTTGGAGGGTATGTATGTTTCATCCCCAAACAAATATTTTCATGCTTTTCAAGTGTCTGTCATAGCCTCATCGCTCTTCCCCTGTAGCTTTTTGTTGTCTGAATGGGTATATGGTTACATGTGTCTGTTACAAATAAAGGGGATCAGCTCTTACCTGGTATATTTATATTTCTTATTTACAGATTTTGAGTACCTAGTGCTTCAGTTTCCAAAATCGCTTTCTTTCTGTATCCCAAAGACCAGAGGTTTGCCTTCTGGGATGATAAAAAGGGTGGGAGAGACTTAAAAGGAAATCTCTGCCCGATTGAAGCTCTTGGTGATAGATCCCCTGAGGACAATTCTACAGTCTAGCCATATTTTTGCTGCATAGGTCAAATGTTCGTGGTTACGCCATTGCTTCCTGATGCCTTTTGCTGAGCAGAAGTGCAGATATTTTTCTTTCAGAAGTTCACAGTTTGTATTACAAAGTCTGATGAAATGTGACTTGAAGTTTGTTTTATTTTTGAATACATGTGATGATTTTAAGAATTTTTTTTTGCCTTTTCTCCTTCCACTGGATGATTTAAAACACACAAAAAAATAAAGCAGACCAATTAAAATAACTGACTGCTAACTTCAATTGAAAAGAAACAACAACACTACCCTTGTGAGACAGTTTTCAACGGTGATCAGCTTACTGGTCTGCTCGACCCTTCCTTTCCTGCCTGCTCCCTGACCCTCTGTGACACTGAAATATCCACTTCTAGAACAACCTTCTCCCTAACCAGAAGGCTAAATGTTCTTCCCTCTCTTCTCCCATTTAAAATCTCATCCTTGCATCAGCCAGATCTACTGTTTAGAGGGATCAAAAGCTCTTTTCCTCCTCCTGCCTTATTCCCATCCATATCCATACCCAGGGCCCTGAGCTGCTCTCCAGTGAGAGGTAAAACTTAAATCCCTAAATCTGATACTTGGCGCAGTAACACCATCTCTAGGCCACCAAAAGCCTGGGGGGTTTAAGTCTATCGTATCCTAATGAAGTAGCTATCTTTTATTTGCTGAAGCAAATAATCACTCATTTGGGAGATGGATCTAATTGCTAAAAAATAACATTGCTCTGACTCAGGTTGTGGAAGCCTAGGAGCCAGACTAAGGTATTGCACTCACATACATACCACAGGCTACGTAACTAATCCTTACTTTGGTGGCACCTCAGAGAAAAAGCCACTAAATTAACGTGATACAGTGCAGTCTGTGCTTTCTTGGGAGAGCAAATGCAATGGAAGGCATAGTAAGGAAACCTGTTGGTATGATTCAAGTTTGGATTCTAGTACAGGTTCAAAAATCAAACTGTTCTGCTGGCTTAGGCTGGTGTTTTAATTTCTCCATGCCTTAGTTTCATGGTAGTAGAAGCGGCAATAAAGGAGCTGCCAGGCTACAGTTGAATATATGGTACTTCGAGGTCTTCAGTTTGAGGGAGTAATGTTATTTATTAAATACTGATGAACCTTGTTTGTGACCAAAGTTGGAGACGGGGCTAAAACTAACACTCTAAACTTCAAAAGATCTTGATTAACGTTTTCCCTCTATTTTAGCATCATAGCATATGGTAGATCAGATTCTCAAATCCAAATGTTGAAGTTCTCATTCAGATTTGGACTTCACCTATTTGGTCTGTTTATGACTGCAGCTAAATACATTCCCAGACTGTGCAGTTATTAAAATAGACATAGAAAAGTTCCATTTGAACAAAGGACTCAGTTACTAATGCTAATCTAATAATCCAAGAGTGTGAACAAATTAGGATGTGATTACTTAAGGAGAATAGGCGTAAAAGAGCACTGGAGTACTTGTTATTGTCCAAAATATCACTGAAATTCTGATGACTAAGTACAGTCTGCTTATCTCTATTTGAAACAGTGCTGTACAGATTCAATATTTCTAAAGGTCTTCTTTCCATTTCTATATAGATATTCTCCCTTCACATTTTGAAGGTTTGAAGAAGAGGATTGTTTTTCGAGTCACACTAAGTAAACATTAAATGCATGCAGGCTTAAAACTAAAGCATGCATGTTATGTAGCAGCAATAAAAAGTGCTCGGCTTGCACGACTTATGATGCTCAAGCGTTGCCTTGTTAAAATGCCAAAAAAACTTTTTCTTTGCATTTTTTTGAAAAGTAAATCTCTTCCTTTGACCTTGCAATACTTAGATTTTCAGTTTTTGGACAAATGATATTTATTTTACTGAATACTTTTATATTACAGATAAGGTGGATGAAATAGTACCAGTTTCCAAGCCATCAAGAATTGCAGACAATGCAACTGTGGACTCAAGAGTGGCAACTATTAAACAGCGGCCTTCTAGTAGATGCTTTCCCTCAGCTACAGATATGAATGTGAGTGGTAGCTATGAAGTACTGCTTTCGCTTCTGAAACACATTGGAGGGGGTCTTTTGGCAAGAAGCAGAAAACTAACCTACAAACATTGCGTTGTGTACTCATTTTGCTATTATTGTCTTGTTAAGTTGTGGTCTACTCTGTATTTCTAATGATAGTTTTTTAACAGAAGAATCTACGTAGCCCTGTAAAACTTTTCTCGTTATATCCTAATATCTATTTTGAGACTGTCGCATCAACACCATTGCTACCTCAGTGGTATTGAAACAGATGTGAACTTGTTCTGCCTCTAATCTGAGCTGGTGAGACGCCAGTAAGTTCTGAACTTGAAGGTGTCAGTACAACGCTAAACCCAAGCTAAAAAACTTTGCTGAAAATCGAGGTGTGCTAGTTTAGTTCAGCTAGTTAGTGCAGCCACATGGTTTCGACTAATGTGAAGGTTTCTCCTGCTGCAGGTTTTTTTTATTATTCCTAATGGCGTTAATATCTTGATTAAATAATACATGATGATTTGTAAGGGAGGAATTGACATTAGTACTATAGCATGTATTAAAGATTTAAACTCCAGACTCTGAAATTGGATTACTCAATTGCAGAATTTGCTCTTACAGAGCTTCGTATGTGAAAAAAATAATTGGTTTTATTGCGTTTTAGATGTATTTTCGCATTGCCCACCCCTCCAAAAGAGCATCATTCCTGACACAACAAGCACTTTGCTGTTCTCAGCAGCTTGGGATGAAAGGAAATTAAGGCTATTCTAAGAGGCAGAAAACAAAGAGTTTTGTGGTGACCTACAAGGAGAGACAGTTGAGTGCATTGGGATTCCGGCAGCGTTCCTCAGGCCCTAGCTGAGATGCTGACTGCCAGTGTAACCTTGTGCAAGACACCCTGAGCTGTGCAAGAGCAGGGCTGCTCTTCAGAAGGGAAGAGATCACACAGCTTGGTGCAGAGTGAGCATTGACACCTATGCAGCGTGTGTCGAGGTTTTTGGAATTCAGTGAAACAAAATGCAATCACTCGTGCTTCATTTTTCTTACCGCACACAAAATGTGCTGCAAACTTAACATAATTGCCTCGTAAAGCATTTCAGCTAGCTCCACTTACAGCTGTTGTCATTTTAATTACATGTAAATAAAGCCCAGCCTTGCCTTTCTCTTCATCTCCTCCCCAAAATAATACCAATCCCAAGCAAAAGGGGATTGGATTAACAGATATGACAGAAGAGTTATTGCCATGTAAAAGATTTGTGTGCTTTAATGCTTGTGGGGTTTTTTTGTTTGCTTTCTTCTAGTCCATGTATGAGAGACAGGGTATTGCTGTGATGACGCCCACTGTACCAGGGAGTCCTCAAGGTCCTTTTCTGGGTATACCTCGGGGTACAATGAGAAGACAAAAATCTATAGGTAAAATGCTTCTCGTGTATAGTTTGCTTGTGCATTAACCACATACCTTTAGTAACTTTGCTTCTTTCTTAAAGCATATTTCTCCAACATCTTTACCTTGGTGAATGGCTGTTTCATTTTTATACAAAATTAATGAGAAAATAAGTTTGTGTGTAAGATGACATTATTTCCACCTTCTGCTTTGATGGCAGTAGGCAACTATTATGGAATTATCATTTAATTCCTTTGTTTAGAATATATAAGACAAGGCAGTAAGAAGGAAAAAAAAATAAGATCAGTACAAGCCCTTTGCAATGCATTATCTAGGGCAAAATGTTATTCCTTTTTTCTTTGTTATTGAGGCAAAAGTGGTTTAATGCTGTGTAGTTTACAAAGGAAACTCTGTTGATCAAATGGCATAAAATTCACCTCTTTTTCATTCCAAATGACGGCAATGGATGTTTCTACAAAAGAGAAAAAAAGAACCGACCAAATTTGGGTTTGCTTTGTTCTTGGTAGTAATCTTAGCAGTGATATTTATCAATTTAGAAACACATTATGCTGATGTAAAATTAGCATCTAAATTATCCCAATATTATCCAGTTTATTTATGTTAAAAGCTGTATTCGTAATAATATAATGCCATCTGTTGAAATGAAGCATTATGATTATTTTCCCCAGTAGAGTCTTCGCAGTCCCTTTGCTAAGTTTCAAATGCATCTTAAAAATTCATTAGGTTTCTAAGTTACATTACTATATACATTTATAGAGTGCTAGAGCAAGGCACAAGCTACTTTTCTGCACAGAATGTCTTCTCTGCTCAATAATTTTCAAAGAAAATGTGCTTTTCTACAGCTACCTTGATGATACATAAAACCAAAACATTTGCCTACACATCAATGATCAATTTAATTAAAATTCTGTAGCATCCTTTTTCATTCTGGCATCCGGGTCTCTGGAAGTGCAACAAGAAAGAATACTTATGGTAGGAATCAACCAAAAGACCTCTTTGACAGTTTTGTGCATGCCTCATGTCATACGAAATGCACCCTGGCATTTTAGGTTGGATACAGAAATAACACCATATGAGGGATCCCAGTGGGAGACTGTTTTAAATATACTTTCTGATTTTCAGGAATAACAGAGGAAGAACGGCAGTTTTTGGCTCCTCCTATGCTGAAGTTTACCAGAAGTCTTTCAATGCCTGACACCTCTGAAGATATCCCACCACCACCACAGTCCTTACCTCCTTCTCCACCACCACCTTCTCCCTCTCTGTACAACTCTCCCAAATCCCCAACATCAAGGAGCTATGGAACTATCAAACCTCTGTTTAATCAGAATTCAGGTGCAAAAATTTCTTTGGTTAGGCCTGAGAATGTGGGAACGATGATAAGGGACAAAGGGATCTACTACAGACGAGAACTGGACCGATACTCTCTGGACTCTGAAGACCTGTACAGTCGGAGTGCCGCAGCTCAGGCAAATTTCAGGAACAAGAGGGGTCAGATGCCAGAAAACCCGTATTCTGAGGTTGGGAAGATTGCAAGCAAAGCAGTTTACGTGCCAGCCAAACCAGCCAGGCGAAAGGGGATGCTGGTGAAACAATCCAATGTTGAAGACAGTCCGGAAAAGACCTGCTCTATTCCAATCCCGACAATTATTGTGAAAGAGCCGTCCACCAGCAGCAGTGGGAAAAGCAGCCAAGGGAGCAGCATGGAAATTGATCCTCAGTCTTCAGAGCAACCTGGGCAGCTCCGACCCGACGATAGCTTAGGTGTCAGCAGCCCCTTCGCCGCAGCCATTGCTGGAGCAGTGAGGGACAGGGAAAAGAGGCTGGAAGCAAGGCGTAATTCTCCAGCCTTCCTTTCCACAGACCTAGGAGATGAGGATGTTGGACTAACACCACCAACACCCCGTATGAGGCAATCTAAATTTACCGATGAAGCAATGTTTAGTAGTGAAGATGGGTTTAGACAGCTTATGTCACCATCTCCGATTCCCGCACCTAGAGAGCCTGAAAATATTTTTAATAGCAGCGAACCCAGCAATCAAAGTGATTCAAGGACATTAAACGCTTCATCCAAAACGAAAGGTACTGAAAACAGTACAGTGGCAGCTAAGTCCACAAACGCATCCAGCTCAGATAATTACGTTCACCCGGTCACAGGAAAGCTGTTAGATCCAAACTCACCGCTAGCCCTCGCTCTCTCTGCCAGGGACAGAGCCATGAAAGAACAAACACAGCAGATTCCAGGCAAAGGAGAGGCTGTTAAAGCTGACCTTAATAAACCACTTTACATCGATACGAAGCTGAGACCCAATATTGAAACGACTTTTCCTGTTACTGCTACTGTCACTAGGCAAAATACTCGTGGCCCGTTGAGACGGCAGGAGACCGAGAACAAGTATGAAACAGATGCGGGGAAAGAAAAGAAAGCAGAGGAGAAGAAAAACATGTTGATAAACATTGTGGATACTTCGCAGCAAAAGTCAGCTGGCTTGTTAATGGTTCATACCGTGGACACAGCAAAGTCAGATGATACGCCTGAAGATGAAGAGGAGAAGAGAGCTGAAATGCAACCGGACCCTGAAAACTCCCCACCAGAGAGGCCAGAGGGGAGCGAGGAAGCAGAAAGCGAGCTGAACGTGCCTGCTGCGCCTGAGCCACCGGCATCTCCCTGCAAAACCATCGTAGCAGCGGGCTCTGTCGACGACCCCGTCATCTTGCCGTTCCGCATCCCTCCGCCACCCTTAGCATCAGTTGATATCGATGAAGAGTTTCTTTTTACTGAGCCACTACCACCCCCCTTAGAGTTTGCCAACAGCTTTGATATCCCCGACGACCGCGCAGCTCCTGGTTCGGCTCTCACAGACTTAATTAAGCAAAGAAAAAATGGCACGCCTTCACCCGCGCCATTTGCCCCCAGCCAGCCAACAAATTCCTTAGACAGTAAAAAGCAAGTGGGTCTTTCAAACTGTTTGCCTGCCTCCTTTCTGCCGCCCCCTGACAGCTTTGATAACGTCACTGACTCTGGGATTGAGGAGGTAGACAGTCGAAGTAGTAGTGACCATCACTTAGAGACAACCAGCACTATCTCAACGGTGTCCAGCATCTCTACCTTATCCTCGGAAGGGGGGGAGAACGTGGATACTTGTACAGTCTATGCAGATGGGCAAACATTTCTGGTGGACAAACCCCCAGTACCTCCTAAGCCAAAAATGAAGCCCATAATCAACAAAAGCAATGCACTTTACAAGGATGCGCTCATTGAAGAAACTGTAGACAGCTTTGTTATCCCTCCTCCCGCTCCGCCCCCACCTCCCATCAGCGCACAGCCCAATATGGCGAAAGTTGTCCCCCAAAGGACATCTAAGCTATGGGGTGATGTGACGGAGGTGAAAAGCCCAATTCTCTCAGGCCCAAAGGCTAATGTTATTAGTGAACTGAACTCAATACTCCAGCAAATGAACAGAGAGAAATCCTCAAAGCCAGGGGAAGGATTGGAGTCACCTACCGGAACAAAAACTGCAAGTCTCAGTACAAGGTAAACGTAATTAAACAAATAATTTTTCTAATAAAAGCTTGACTTTTTTTTCCATCCCTTCACTAATTTCCCCTGTAAATCACGTAGATTAATGAAGAATGTACTTTCTATTGCACATGCTTGCTTAATGAATACTCCATGACAGTTTTACAGAGGAGAATTTCCAACATTGTCAGTGTTTCTCTAGTCTGCACCATAGGACAGGAGCTTTCTCAGTCTTCTCCAGCTTCCAAGACAGTTTCCACAAACCTTGCAGTTGTTTTGGTGTGAGGTAGATTTACTTTTAAGTAGTACTTTTCTCTTGGAAAAAAAAAAAAATTAAGATGTGGCAATAGTTTAATTTTTCTTCAGTCCCATGACTTATTTTGGCTTCAAACAGGTAAAAAGGTGTTTCTGCCTGGGCTTAATTCACATTCACTGTGTGATGCCGTTTGATTCTTGATAATCCTCTTTATCAGGAAGGATAAAGCTATCTGAGAAAAATCACTCATTGAAATCACTGCGCTATTCATGTTATTACTAAAAAGTTAATTTTGCATCTCTACCAACTTAGTATTATGGGGTTTAAGTTCTTACTCTCTATTGTACACACTCATTAGTGAAGAGTCTCGGATGTTTGCAGGTTCAAGGATGTGGCTCCTTCCTCCCAGCAGCACCATCCCTGGCAGTGCAGTGCAATACGTTTGCGTATAAGTGGTTTGCGAAAGGTACTTAAGTGATGAGTAACTTACAACAGTCAGACACCATTGGGAAAATGCACAAGTAATTGTGTAGTCACATATGTGTGGAATATGGATATAACAGCATGAAATCCATGCTTGTGAAAAAAAAAAGGTGATTTTTGTCTTATTGAGAGCTGGAGGTATCTTTTTTTTTGTGGGGTGGAATGGTGTGGCCTTACACGCAGCAGTTAAATGTACCTGGTACTGAAGTGTTGCGTATTGTTTGGCTCAGACTGCTCCACAGAAATGCATTTTTTGCAGAAATGCAGTGCTGACTTTGTTTTTTAAAAAAGATACCGTCTAAGTAAATTTAATTGGAATTATTCTGCTGGGTGATAACTAACTTGGCCTTTGAGAAGCTACGGTTCTTTGCATACAGCAAGCTGATTTGGTTTAAGGGGAAGGGTGACTGCTAATTGCAAATGATTGCTCATTCAGAAAACAGTGATCAAAAGGTTCAGAGTTGGGTGGTTATATTGTTTCCTGCAAGATGGAAGTTGTCAAACTGGTGACTGGGAGGTATGGAGCTTCTACAATTTTTAGAATGAAGGGATGGAAGAAAAAAACCTGAAATTCTGGAATTCCTGTCAGTGACACTTGAGTAAACTGAGTAGAAATTGAGTTGCCTGTACAGGAAAAGCTTTAATACACAGAAAAAAATTACAATGAAAATGGTATAAGAAAAACTATATACTGGCTGCCTGGTGAAGACAGTCTTTAAACAAAGTTAGTGCAGCAGCTGAACACTTGGCGTCTGCGAATAGCTCAGGCAAGCATTAAACTATACTTGTGCACTGATCTTAAATTTACGTAAGTCTTGTCTTGCAGATGATTCTGACAGATTTATTTCATATTCTTTTTCTTACTTCTTCAAGAATACTATTTTTGCTAGAGCTCGATCATCTTTCTTGTTAAGCCATATGAACAGGTTGCCTCTAGCTTCGTATGTATAATATTATTTATCATCTTTTCTATTTAAACTGATAGTTATTGTCAGGTTACAGTAGAGATCTTCAGCACCCCTATTTTATTAGAAAATAACTGAGGCTAGCAACTGCGATGTACTGTATTATCATTACTGAGAGGAAAATAAAACGTAGAAGCAAATAGAGATACATCTTTTTTGTGAAAAGACATTTAAATGGTTATAAAGGATGGGAAAAAAATTGAAAAACTACTATATCACTTCATTGGAGAAAAGCAAGCTATCATCTAAGCAAGAATAGTCCCATAGATGTTACATTTTAGAGAAAGATCTGGCTTGGACACTGTTAGAAAGTTGGGTTGGTTTTCTGTCCTTTAACTTTTTTAACTCTTATAACTCAGATTTGGCACATTACATGGTTTTCATTATGGAATACAGAGACTCCATTTGGAAACAAAACTACACAAAGCATTGTTCCGATGTGTCTGAAGTCCTGCTTCTTTCCTGAAAAATAAACCCAAATAGGTGTCTTTGCAAACTAGAGAGAGGATCTTGGGATATAACACTACTGAAGGACCCACGAGGCAATAAATAAGAAAAGCTGACAGTGGCAGCCAAGCTCTTGGCTGCCGTTTGACTGTGGGAGAAAAGGACACCTCCACAGAATTCCCCGGGGGAATGGAAGTAAGAGGACTGCATTTTGTTTCCTTCTGCTTTCAAAACTCAATTTTTAAACTGAGCTGCAGAAAATTAGGTGGATTGAAGATACTAAAAATGCTCAGGAAAGGTTACTCAGGATTTCTTTTTTAAGCTGAGCAATAAATCACAGACAGCAGCAGAGAGCCAACTAGCTACAGCCATTAAAACACGTTTTAAAAGGTGCTGCAGGGGATTCCTTTTCATCTGAACAGGAGTGCAGGGGAGAGATGTAAATGGAGAAGTTCACTTTTTGGTTCAGAAGTCAACTGGTCAGCCAGCGGAGGTTTGTAAGCGTTGTCCGCCCAGCTGTGTCGTGCCTGGTTCCCAGCTGCCCAGGAGCAGGGCTGGCCCCATCCCCTCTCTCTGAGCTTCACCAGCTCCACGTTCCACGGGCAGATGAGAGAGGATTGATTTCAGAGCTTGATAAAGAGTGGGAAAGAGGGAGCAAAAGGCTAATAGCAAAATTTATCACAGTGGAGAAAACGTTCCCATTTCTTTTTATTGTGCTATGTATGTTTGTGCCCTGAATTGTCTGCATTAGGTTTCAGTTCTGTTCTCAAAGGTGCTGCATAAAAGCAGTGGATGCATGGTAAACGCTTCCCAGACAAAGACATTTTTTTGAATTGCTTTTACTCCTGCCTTATCTTTTAAAAAGTTAATTTACTGCTTTTACTCCTGCCTTATCTTTTAAAAAGTTATATAAATTACAGCCTTTCTAGCCCAATTGCATGGCTGACACAATTTTTTACAAAGCTGTCAAATATTATGACCAAGGAATACCATCTTGCCAAAATCCCAAGTATTAAAGCTAATATTTATAATTCTAAAGCTAAAATTCTTCATTTCTTGATTTTTTTTTTTAACACTGTAAAAACTTGGACAATCAGTTATAGAGCTTGTAGTCCTTTTTCTGTGAGGTAGCATTAGAAAGGGCACAAGGAATTTTAGCTCACAGAAAGCAAGGATTCCGCTAAATTAAAGAACAACTCAGCAGCGCTGCTAAAGGAAAAGTGATGAAAAATGAGCACGCCTGTTCGTATCCTTCACCCAAAGAGAAGTATTGGGAAGTGTTATAAATAGGAACGTTGTTCACAGGCTCGCTTGGGTTATGTTCACAGCACTAGCAGCCTGATGAAATTAAAAATGTGTATTTGCACATTGAGACATAGATGAAGTTACAGCCCGGATAGCAATCCTGCACGTCACTAGGAATTACTTTTGCACAGCCAGCAGACATGCGATTGTAGTTCGCTCAGGGCAATTGCCCCATTAGGGGAACACAGAGGTGAATTAAAATGTAGATAGTTGGATAATGGCTTGTTGCAGAAACCCATAAAAATATCTTATCTCTATGTTTCTGATAAATGAAGATTGGGAAGAGATTGTTCTACAGCACTGAGCAGCATTTCTCTCTCAATTATCACATTAAAAAATGACCCTAGATTTGCTTTTTTTCTCTGCACATTGGTTTAGCAATAATTTTATACAGAGTATTTATGGTTTTCCATGGTTCTTATGGAGACACCGAGTTTCAAGATTTTTAAATAGAGCATGGAAATGTTTGGCTGGAAACCATCTGCTTCTCAGCGGCAGTGACCAGCCGCGGGATAGGAAAAAGGAACCTGGTAGGGGAAGGAAAGAGAGGAAGAAGTGAACGGATGTGCTTGCTGACTTTGTACTAATAGAAGGGTAATTAAAGGGATGGATCAGAAGGTTCTGGACTAGAGCTAATACCACTCCTGGTTTTGGCCATTTTTGGCCAATTTATGAAATTTTAGAGATCAGACCTTCCTCACAGAAAAGTTTGAGGGTGTTTGGATACAAGACTCCATTTGACCCCAAACCCCAGCGCTAAAGCCCTCATGATGCTCTGGTCCTGCTGCCCGTCCCTGAGTTTGGGTGTGCACAGGGACAGCGATGGGAGAACCCAGCCCGGGCTCTTGGCAGGTGATGCTCTGCCATTGGCGAGCAGGGAGGGGAAGAGGAGATGTGTAACAGCACTATCACCGTGATGCTATAAATATAGCTGTGCTATAAATTCACTCGAGAGGCTACTGACTTTTTATGGAGCTGATAAAAGAAATGGGGAGAAGACTAATGCAGGGGTTTTCATCAGGTTAAGGGAGGAGCGTTCGCTCTGTCTGTGAACCCAGCAGTCGCTTAGCAACATAAAAAGTGCAAGCCTGCGAGATGGACTCAATAATATCAGCATCATTAACGCAGAATAGACCCAGTGGCAGCGAAGGAGAAAAAACCCAGCTCCCAGTGCAAACGGCATCCTTCCGCCACAACTCCGGTGTGCCAGTAAGGAATAATGACCAGCAACTGCTGCTGCTCTCTGCCATCACCAAACCAAAATGATGCAAAGCTTTGCCATAGGGACAAACAATTCCTAGGTCAAACAGTGCTTATGTTTCTCTGGGGCAGGTTGGGCATCACTCCTGGTAGTAGGAAATGCTCCTTGTAAACGTGGGAGTGCTTAACCATCCAGGATGAAGTCCTCTAGGAAAAATAACCCCTCCTGTGTTGGCATAGCAAGTTTTAAAAGTGAAACTGCCTATGACCAAGGTTTTTGTTCATCTCTGATTTTTTTTTTTTTTATGACTAGCTGGAAAAGTTCCAATTTTTTCACGAACAGGTAAGGCAGAACTGAA